ATAGACCTCCGATCATAAAGAAATACATTAAGAATAGGATGAAGGGTAAAAGGGGGAGAGAGAATATTCATGTGGGCCCTAGTTAGTTAGAAGACGTTCTGAGTAAGGAGAGAATTTGTTACTGAGGAAGAGGGAGTAAGGTTGTTATATATATGTGTTGCTCTAGAGAGGGTGAGGTATCTTTTTGCTATCTTGTATTTCTGTGTAAGAAATTGTGGGAGAGAATAGGGAGCTCTCAAATACTCCCTTGACCTGTAATTTTCCCTAGTACCTAAATAATAGAGCAGCCTCTATCATCCTTCTGGGGGGAAGCTGTGTTACCAGCCATTTATTTAATCAATCGGTTACCATCTGCTACTGTAGACCATAAAACTCCTATGAATATCCTATCAAAATTTGATCCTGATTTTCGAACAACAAATAACTTGACTCATCGAGTATTTGGTTGTGTAGCTTTTGTTCATGTTCACAGTCATCAGCGAGGTAAACTTAATCCACGAGCACTCAAGTGTATTTTTGTAGGATACTTGACCACTCAAAAAGGGATACAAATGTTATCATCCTCCTTCAAAAAGGTTCTTCATCTCTGCTGATGTTACCTTTTATGAAGACGTCAGCTTCTTTACCTCACCTTATCTTCAGGAGGAGGAACTATTGTTGGAAGATAAGGATTTGCACATTCCCAACCTCACATTTCATATATCAAATCCTTTACCACCACCCTTAGACACCTCACCAGAACCATCTAACCCTTCTACTACTATATCATTACAGGTTTATTCAAGAAGAAACACTGAAAAAGATAAGCAAGTCCAATTCAGAGATATATTCAAACTCTTGAAATGAAATTGACGAGAAAATAATCAGTAATGAATCATACATTATAGTATCTACTAATGATGAGTTAGACTGATGTAGTCAGCTTAGTTGTGGTTCATTCTATTAAAGGATTAGCTAGTTATATCTTTAGCTTGTTTAAAGTTTAGTAGTTACTGCACAGTAAATTGGGTTTATCTTGTATTCCTAAAGCTGGAAGCCTCTATAAATAGGCTCTCTTTTAGTAATGAAAGGCAGATTAAATTATTCTTAAAACTCTTGTGCAAAATTGCATCAATTGGTATCAGAGCACCCAAAATTCTAGACACTCAATGGCGGGAAAGAAACCAGCAATCATGCGCAATTCTTCCTGCTAACAAAGAAAAGGATTAGTTTTTTGTTCTCTCACCACGATCAACGACCATACGCTTGCAGTTGGTCGAAGGAGACATTAAAGTCATCCAAAAGGATGTGGGTGAGATTAAACAAATCCTGGAAATTTTACATGGGCGGTTGGAAACCTTGAATCTGCAACAAAACCCAACAAGAATGACTCAACAAGATCCTGCAAGATTGGAGCAAGAAGCAACGGTGGATGATCGAAAAGGCAGCTACGTTCAAGATAGGCAAATGGCTCCACCAAGAAGGGTCCAAGAAACCAATCTAGGTCCAAGAGTTTATCAAGAACAGCATCCTGCCCAACAAGAATTCAACCAGAACACTTTATCCCAATGGCGGCATGAGATTTTTCTGGATTCTTCAAGTGATGCGGAAGAAGACAGAAGACGATTTCATTATGATCATCGACAATACCAAGATGCTAGTGATTACAAAATGAAGATCGGCTTGCCTAGCTTCAATGGCAAAATGGAAATAGATAGGTTTCTTGATTGGGTGGAGAACGTATAAAACTTCTTTGACTACATGAGTAATCCCAAGAAGAAGAAGGTAAAACTTGTTGCTCTCATTAAAAGGGGGAGCATCTGTTTGGTGGGATAAATTAGAGACAAACCGAAGGAGATTTGGAAAGAGACCAATCCGCACATGGGAAAAGATGAAAAAACTCATGCAAGAAAGATTCTTACCCATCAATTATAAACAGACCCTTTACAACCAATATCAAAATTATAAACAAGGTACTCGATCTATCATGGATTATACGGAAAAATTTCATCGTTTTGGTGCAAGAACAAATCTAGGAGAGAATGAACATTACAAAGTTACAAGATACATTGGGGGATTGCATTTAGATATTAAGGAAAAACTACAACTCCAACCAATTGGGTATCTTAATGAGGTCATTGCTACAGCAACCACCACTGTTGAAGAACAACGAACAAATAAATTTGAACAACAATATAGCCGAAAAACAACTTGGGATGGCCAAAGTGGCAGTAGCTGTAAAAGCAGTACCTCTCGTGACAAGACTAATCCAGCTTCTGTCCAATCCATTTTGAACAAAAGAAAACTAATAGACACTGAACCTCCTACAGATACTAAACATGGGGGAATTCCAGCAACAAAAAGACCCACCAATACCTACAATCGACCAAATTTAGGTAAGTGTTTCATATGTGGACAGATTGGGCATTTGTCAAATGAGTGCCCTCAAAGAAGAGCAGTAGCTATCCTAGACGAAACTGAAGAAATTGATCAAGACAATCAAGATTCTGAAAATGAGATCACGTATTTAGAACCAGATGAGGGCAAGCAAGTTTCTTATGTTCTTGAAAGGCTTCTCCTTACACCAAAAATAGAATCTTCTCCACAGAGACATTCTTTATTCAAGACAAGGTGCACCATTCATGGAAAAATATGTAACATGATTATCGATAGTGGAAGCACCAAAAAAATTGAGTCTAGCAAACTAGTAACAGCCCTCAACCTCCAACTCATCCCTCATCCTACACCTTACACGGTTAGTTGGATCAAGAAAGGAGGGGAAACTCAAGTATCAAACATTTGTACAATCCCTTTGTCAATTGGGAGTAGCTACAAGGATCAAATCGTTTGTGATATTTTGGAGACGAGTTTCTATTTTGAGGATTGTTCATAGCCATCTAACTTCACTGCTTTTAAACTCGAGGACGAGTTTTATCATTTGGGTCGGGGAAATTGCTGTAGTCGGCTTAGTTGTGGTTAATTCTTTTAAAGGATTAGCTAGTTATATCTTTAGCTTGTTTAAAGTTTAGTAGTTACTGCACAGTAACTTTGGTTTATCTTATATTCCAAAAGCTGGAAGCCTCTATAAATAGGCTCTCCTTTAGTAATGAAAGGAAGATTGCATTATTCTTAAAACTCCTGTGCAAGATTGCATCACATACCTTACAATACCTGCTAATGATGAGTCAGACCTAGATTTGCCGATTGCTTTAAGGGAAAACGGACTTGTAAAGTATAAAGCATATGGAACACTTGAGAGGTACAAAGCACGGTTGGTTGCTAAGGGATATACTCAAACATATGGAGTTGATTACCTTGAAACCTTTGCACCTATTGCCAAGATGAACACAGTACGAATACTTCTATCTCTTGCTGTAAATCATGGATGAGACATGTTACAATATGATGTAAAAAATGTTTTTCTACATGGTGATTTTGAAGAAGAAATTTATATGGAGATCCCACCTGGGTATCAGCAAGCAGGAAATAAAGTTTGTAAATTAAAAAAGGCGTCGTATGGATTAAAGCAATCTTCTAGGGCATGGTTTGGTAGATTTTCTCAAGTTATGATGAAGATGTACTATAAACAAAATCAAGGAGATCATACATTATTTATAAAACATTCTAATACGGAGGGAGTGACAGCATTGATTATTTATGTCAACGATATTATTGTCACTAGCAATGATAATAACGAACCAGATAAATTGAGAAATTGTTTAATCCAAGAGTTTGAAGTTAAAGAATTAGGAAAGCTAAAATATTTTCTTAGGATAGAAGTTGCCTATTCTAAACAAGGCATATTCGTATCACAACAGAAATATGTGATTGACTTACTTTCTGAAACAGGACAGCTTGGCAACAGACCAATGGGAACGTCGGTTGATCAAAACCATAGATTATGTGCATCTGAAGAGAGTACTCTAGTAAATAAGGAAATTTACCAAAGGTTAGTTGGAAAATTAATATATCTTTCTCATACGAGACCAGATATTGCATATGTTGTAGGAGTGATAAGTCAATTTATGCATAGTCCAAAAGAAGTTCATCTTCAAGCTGTGTACCGAATACTCCACTATTTGAAGAACTCCATTGAGAGAGGATTGTTGTTTAAGAAAGGCGAGAAATTCAATCTAGAAGTTTATACAGATGCAGATTATGCAGGATCGATAGATGATAGAAAATGCACTTCTGGCTATTGTACTTTCTTAGGTAGGAACTTAGTGACATGGAGAAGTAAAAAACAAGATGTAGTTGCAAAATCGAGCTCAGAAGCGGAATTTAGAGCAATGGCATTGGGCATCTGTGAATTACTGTGGATAAAGATTATTTTAGAAGATTTGAAGATTCGATGGGAAATGCCTATGAAACTTTACTGTGATAATAAAGTAGTAATAGATTGAATTGTTACTACGCCTATAATGCATTCCATACGCAAAGAAACCTTTATATTTTATAAGAATTGGGTAAATTAATAATATTGTTCTAATCATTACACGAGGCTTAAAGCCTCCATGTAAAAGCCTCTTCTATGAAAGGCGGAAGCCTCTCATGGTTCAAAGAAGGCATAAGTCTCAAGGCTAAAAGTTAGAGTCTTGCCTCGAGATGAACCTCAAGGTTTAAGCCTCAAAAGCTCTTTTAAAACATTGTTCACCAGCTTTTTGTCAACGTTGCTAATTTGGACTCTTGGATTACACTTCCGATCGCCCTACCTCATCTTCTTCTCACTACAAGATTTCTTCCTTAATAGACATCTTCAATGATTAAGTGCATAAATTATATCACATTATGATTTGAAAAACAGCAACTTCCAACTTCCAAGTCTAGTAGTACAATTTAAGTTTGGTTTTTAAACGTTCCTGGGAAGAATAATGTTGCAAAGACATCTCAAACTACTGCTCCTACAACACAAAGTCCAGTTGCATGAATTTCGGTCATCCTTGTGATTGCTAATGCTATCACTTAGCATTCTATAACCTTGTTGCTGAACATGACACATGTAATAACAAGTACAATAATACCTATAGCCCACTGCAACATGCTGTCGAGGGAATAAAATCCGCCATCGAATCCATCAGGGTCGTGAACGACGGCTGTAGCGGCGGTGGAATCTTCCTGGGGCCTGTTCTCGACAAGGAGATCGCCCTCTTCTTTTGCAGAAGACCAAATTAAACCTCCCAAAGAAGACTTGTTTGTGTTTGCCGTATCTTCTGCAATCACCAACGTCAGAGAGAGCCAGAAACAGAGCCCAGCTACTAGGCACCGCCCCATGTATTTTCTCTTCTGGACTTCAAGATTGAAAAGATCGGTCGCCAGTTTAATTTCCATCCTTGGATGCAATTAGTTCGAAATCTCAGCTAAAACGCAAAAGAAATTAGAAGCGAAAACAAGCAGAGCAGGGAATGCAATTTCGAAGACGACGACCAACAAGTAAACGAGACGAGAGTGAACCAGAAAATTCCCATACATGCGCCACTTCCATGTAATTCGTTACACGTCATCTCGTTTAATCCACATCGTAGATCACGGATCTGACGGTCGAAAAAAAAAGACAGAGTCAGGGATTGGGTAAACCCATCGATATCGATAAGGGACCCAAATGTCAATTATATGGGCCGTTGGAAAGTCCATTAAGGGGTTGGGTCAGCCTGGAATTTCGACGTTGTCCTCTCTTCCCTCGCTCGAAGTGACGCAGGGTTGCGTTGCTGTCGGTTGTCGGCGACGCGTTCCCTTCGTTCTAAAGCCCTAAACCCGTCGTCGTCGTTGGTGCCCGGTAACTAAAGCCAGAAGAACATGGTGAGACTCACGGTCGATTTAATCTGGAAAAGCCCTCATTTCTTCAATGCCATTAAGGAGCGAGAACTGGACCTTCGAGGTTGTCTATCTTTTCTCCGTGTTTTATTCTTGTTTTTGGTGGTTGTTGTCTCAAGTCCTACTTCTTTCACTCTCTCAGGCATGCTTTTCTTAACCTCTCTCTTCTCCTTTCCAGGAAACAAGATAGCAGTGATAGAAAACCTCGGTGCCACCGAGGTGCGTGATTTCCACCGCTTAATATCTCTTCTTTTGAATCTCTGAAACATCTTTCGAGTCTCATCCGGGGTCTTTCTACCTTAACTTGAGAATACCATTTCTCTTCTCGGGTTATTTTCGTTTAGTTTTGTTGCAGTCTGAAATTTAAGTTAAATCCTTATCCACCGCTATATGCAAATAGTTTTTCGTGGTAAGTCTCCCGTTAGACTAAGAGGCGCACACATCTTTACATTCTGGCGAAAATCCTTCTACCAAATTAAAATTCAGACTATAATTATCATTTTTATCCAAGTCTTCTTTTTTTAATTTCTCTACGGTCAATATAATGTTGATTAATCAAGGACAGAGTTACTGATTCACTTCAAATGAGTGGATGTACTAATATTTTCTTCTTCGGTGTGATAGTCTACTCCTCAAGCCTGCATCACACCCTTGAGACTCCTCCTTTTGCAGATTCTAGATGATATCTCCTTTGGTGTTTGAAATAGCATTATTTTGGGAAGAAACAAAAGAGGCTATCTTCAACTAACTATCCTCCCAAATTTGAAATGTGTCTTTCATGCCAACTTTATCTAAACTACGATTTTGCAAGGGGCCTTTGGTTTTGTTTACTCCATGGTGGAAAATTGCCTCCACGACCACCACCTCCTACATTTGTGAGCCACATGAGAGGATCGGAACCATATTTACTCGATAAAACTTTTCTCGGGCCTCCACATGAATGTATTGTATCTCCATAGCCACTGTACCCGCAAGGCTTCTTTCTTGTGTTTCGGGTTTCTCACTTCCAGTCTACCTAAAGAAATAGGGAGGGCAGTCCAGTGACTTAGTGAAGACCTTAATCAAAGTTTTCTAAATGACAGCTTCATTTTTGTGTCTCAAGCTTCTAGGGTTGATTTCTCATCACCCTTTAGTACTTTACTTTTGTTTGAAATGAACCGATATTCCTTTATAAGAATCTTTTCAAAAAAAAATATTCCTTTATAAGAAAGTTTTTGTCCAACTCCTCTCCGTCCAAATAGCAATAAAATAAAAAATGCAGCCACCAAAACTCTCTGGAAGTTTCATCTTTTTTTTCACAAAGAATACACTTCCTATAAAAAGACAGAATACACCAAGAAGGTGGTATCAACATACACTTGGATAAAACTTCATTGATATTTTTAACTAGAAAGTACCTTTTGTTGTTTGTCCATAGACCGTATTTCCTTGGTGTTGGCTCCTCAGTGGTGTGTCATTTGCAAAAGTGATTCCGATGATCTCATAATATTTTGTGGAACTGCCAGTTCGCCTAGTCTATTTAGGCTTGGTTCTTGGGGGGCCTTTGGGGTGTCCTTGGCTTGTAATAGAGGGAGTGTAGGCCGAGGTTTAGCTTTGTCCCTCTTTTCAATTTGAGGATAGAGGGGCCCTATTGAGGCAGGTTTTTTTTTTTTTTTTTTTGAAATTTTTTGGAGTATTTGGATTGAGAGGAATAGTAGATTTTTTTTTTTTGGGTGGAGAGGTCTTGGGAGAATTTTCGGGATTTAGTTAGATTTAAAGAGGCGTTAAATCTAACTAAATCCCGAAAATTTCTAAGGCATTCTATTATTACTGGTTAGGTGGTATTTGTTTGGATTGGGGTCTCTTTTTGTAGGTGGTTCTCTTTTTTCTGGGTTTGTTTTTTGTATGCTCCTTGTATATTCTTTCATCTTTCTCAATGAAAGCTCGGTTTCTTAAAAAATAAAGAATAAAAAAAAATAATGTTCAACTTTGTTTTTCATTTATTTTTTTTTTAACCATATGATGGTAGATTTTCCTTGACCATAAATTTCAGGATCAATTTGATGCCATTGATTTGTCTGATAATGAGATTGTGAAGTTGGAAAATATGCCATATCTTAATCGATTGGGCACATTGCTTATCAATAATAATAGGATCACTCGCATCAATCCAAATATTGGAGGTGAGCTTTCCATTATGCTTTTATGGGATTATTTAACAATCTTGTTTCTAAAAGTTTTTTTTTTTTTTATTTCTTTGTTCTTGTCAGAATTCTTGCCAAAATTACACACATTAGTTCTTACAAACAACAGACTTGTGAACTTGGTAGAAATTGACCCGTTGGCATCCCTTCCAAAACTTCAGTTTCTTAGTTTATTGGATAACAATATTACGAAGAAGCCAAACTATAGATTGTATGTCATTCACAAGTTGAAGTCACTCCGGGTGCTTGATTTCAAGAAAGTCAGAAACAAGGTAATTTATTCCTGCATACGGACCTTATTATTTGAAGAATGGCTGTAATTCTAGGCTTGTTTCTGCTTTTTTACTTACTGCATGCATGGAAACAATTAGAAAAATTTCAAGTTGCTTTTTTACTTTCAAGTTGGATTGAAAAGAACAATATGTTATTAGCTCTTAGCTGGTGTAAATGTCACTATTACCCTTTTACAAGTTATAGTCTTGATGATCTTGTATCAAATCGGACAGCTTTTCTGTAATTCTGTTTTGGGGCTCATCATTTGTTATTTCATTCATCAATGAAATTATTATTTCTTATCTAAAAAAAAGTAGAAAAAAATATACCAATGTTAAAGACTTTGTTTTTTGTTTTAAAAAAATGTTATTTACTCGCCTAAAATAAGAAAAAGGGACAGGGTGCTGCTGGGACATGGATTCATAAACTTTTTGGGTAGTTTACAACTTCTATATTTCATATGGGGATCGTGCTAATAAATTACATTAGTTTAATAGATGTATGTCACATACTAGTTGTAAAAAGTGAATGTAGATTCGACACTTGTTACGCACATATTGAATCCTTGTTAATCATAAGAAGTAGGCATAAATAGTAGTATAGGACAAAATAATAAACTTTGAGAGTGAAATATATCAAACTAATTTTTTTATACACAAAAATGCTTAAGCTTATTGACTTTGAATTTTCTCCCTAAACAAACTGTATATTTTAATAAATGTGCCCTTGCCCTGTCCATGTTCTAGATTTTTAGAAAATAACATGTCACCATTTCCATGTCGTGTTGTATCTGTGTCTCGTGTCCGTATCCATGTGTCTTGTGTCCATATCTGTGCTTCTTAGGTGAAAAGGATTCAACATGCAACCTTCATTTGCTAACCCTTCTCTAGCCTTCCCAAACTGCATGCACCGATCATCATGGAAATGCAGCTATGTTAAGGCAATAGTTGGGTTGCACTCTACTTCATTGAACTCCATTTTATGTGCCTCATCGTTGGCCCTCACTTCAATTTCTTTGTTTTTCTGATTACCCAGCGCCACTTCCACTTTTCTGTTCTTCAGATTATCCCCTTGTACTTTATTTAGATTCTTCAATTTTGGTCTATGATCCAACTGTTGTACCCTAATTCCTTTATAAATGTGCTGTTGTTGTAGCTTCACCCTTTTGTTACTGAGTTGTAGGATCCTTTGTGGTAGAACTTCGGTACCTCTATTTTTTAGAGGTTGAATCTTTGTGGGATGGTGAGGAAGTTGTCTTGGTTTTTTTGTTTTGAGATAAACGTTGCTTGTTGTGTCAACCTAGTTTTTCATCGTATTGGTGCGTTTTGCATTTTAAAACCTCTCTTTAGGTTCATGATTCAGAAAGGTTTTTCCGATTGCCCTTTATTCTTATCAACAGTTGAAGCTCTTATTTTATTAGTTCTGTGTTTTTGTACTCTCTCTGTTCGTGCGGCCATTTTCTGTAATTCCACTTTTTGTTAAAGAAAACTATTTTCTCCTCTGAAGTGCCTTTTATATATAATACAGTTTATAGATTTCCCATCTGCAGCGCTTCATTTCTTAATGTCAATGACAGGAGAGATTGGAGGCCAGGAGTTTATTTTCATCAAAAGAAGTAGAAGAAGAGGCAAAAAACGAATCTGTGAAGACGTTTGTTCCTGGTGAGGTAGAGAATGCATCAAAACCTGCAGAGGAGAAACAAACTTCAAATGTGTCCGCTCCAACACCGGAGCAAATTATAGCTATTAAGGTGTGTATATTTTATACTTCACGTCAATCACATCATGGGCATGAAGCTTAAGAATCTCTTTGATTGTAACATAAAGGATAATTCCTTTACAGGTAAATGCTTGCCAGTTGCCAAGATCTTCTCTGTTTTCTTGCTGTTTAACCTAGTAGAGAGAGACTATGAAAAGGAGGCTATTGATGTGCCTTCCTCTCTATGGTCTAAGGTGCTCCTCCTATTTTAGGTTTGAGAGACTGCAGACTGGTGTCTTTGATCTCGAGTGTTGGCCTCTATCTCGTGTAAATCATTTTCCTCTTGCTTGCTTCCCATCTTTTCCAAACACTTCTTCAAAGCTGATTGAGGTGGTCAGTTTTGTTTTCTGGGTGATGAGAAAGGCCCCTCCCGAAAGAGATCATGAAGAACAGCTTTCCGATCTTTGTTAATCACAGCTAAACTGTAATTGCAATAGAATTCTGTGATTAAGAAACCACATAGAAGTCATAATTTGTACACTACTGCAAAATATCTAAGGGGCGTTTAGTGTTGATAAACATTGTGTGATCAATTGACTTTCTGTTCTACAGGCGG